TTAGTTTTGCAGAGCAGATCAGGAATATGGTTTTTGGAATGCTTTGCACTAAATAAAATATTTTTACTTGCAGTTGGAAGTTTCATTCTCTTTTATTCTTTATCTGCCCTCCTCTTTCATTATTGATCTGAAACCAAGAAATGCTATGTTTATTTTTTTCTGACTTTTCCCACCTGTCCTATTATAAAAATCACACATCTGAAATTAGTAAAAACATATTCAAGTTGAGTTGATTTTATCAAATTCAAGTATATTTCTCTTTTCTCAAGTATATTTCTCTTAGATCAATCTGAGTTTCATACTTAAATCTACATATTCTGCTGTTTTCATAATCTTTTATAATTTCCAGGAATGTATGGCTTGTTTCTGCCTCATAGTTCTTATCCATTTGCGATTCGATAACTGTTCTTTTAGTATAAAGATATTGAATGAATACCTAACTATTAACATAACTATTTCCAAAAGGTATTTTTATCAGCAATGTATTAATGGCATGGAAGGAACTCTTTAGGAAAAACAGCAATCCAGTGAAATCTGTTTATGTCTTGGTTAGCTCTTTGCAGTAATTTCTAATCAATGCATTTGCAACTGAAAGCTGGTTCCAGCAATCAAACAAAATATATATTTTATGTGTATAATACAGGAACTGAAATGCAGTTTCCCACACTCCCAAAAAATGATGTAGGACAGAATAGAAAAGATTTTAATGGTTTTGCAGTCTCTCACTTCTTGTCAAAATCTGATAGCTGATTCTGTTCTCCCTTTGCTCTAGAAACTTGTTATTTCCCAAATTCTATTTCCTTCATATCTGGTGATAAGGTTCAACATCATTGATAAGGTGAACGACCTGTCAATGAAAAACAAGGACATCCTGTTGCATCAGTTCCCCAAACACTAGGTATAAACAATCTATTTTCCCTTCTGTTGTGCTGTTGCTTCCAGCTAAACTACTATCCAGCTGGAAGCAATTTTCAAGTAGCACTTTCTTTGGTTAAATAATGCAATTATTCTCTCAGCTATAATATTAGAGATCATTTGGCAAAACAATTTGATAAGATGTTATCTTGGAGAAAGTCATTCTGAGTTACTTTTTCTACTGGGTATTTACATGAATCAAAGTCCAAGGGTTTGTTACATGACAGAGTGTGGCTTTTTGTGAAGGCAGTGCTATGACAGACTCCTAGCTTTAGCTGATTTTGACCATTGCTTTGGAATTATCAACCTTCTGCCTTAAGTCTTTATTTGCTATCATGTCCTGGCTTACCTATTTACTTGATTTTTTTTTGACCCAAAGAGTATCTGTTAACTATATTTCAGTACTACTTGCAATAAAAACACTGAATGTTAAAATTATTCCAACTAAATAGTAATACTGCATATTGCTATCTTCTCCTATGATGATCCAGATGCATATTAAAGATTTCATATGTATACAATGGCTGTTATATTGGAATTTATGTCTTTGCTTAGTAAAAGTAATAAAGAAATGCAACATATGTGGGCTTAAATCAACACAAATGATTGAGCTAAGCTAGTGATGGCTAACCTTTTTGTCATTGCGTGCCAAAAATGTGCATGTGTGCGTGCACACGTGCCTGCACCCATAATGCAATGCATGCGTGATACCTCCCCCGCCCCCTGAGCATGCGCATGCGACCCCCCCACACACACAATGGCTCGCATGCTGGCAGAGATGGCTCTGCATGCCACTTCCGGTACGTGTGCTATAGGTTCGCCATCACGGACCTAAGGGGTGTGTGTGTGTGTTTGTATAAAAGAGGTTTCTTATGTATTGAATAATATAGAGAATTTAAGACATCCACAGCTACAATATATCAAATCATAGTAGAGGACATCTATCCTAGTCAGAAGGCGGGTTCAAAAGGGGAATTCATCTAGACTCATTTACATAAATACAAGAGGGCCAGGTCTGACTCCTCATCTCGTCTTTCCCAGGTGAAAGCTGCCAATATGAGGAGATTCCTGTGAAATAGGCATAGAACAATAGAGTAGCTAGTTTGAACCCTAACATGTAGGCCTGATGTTCCCACCTGACAAAACAAAATTGCATGCATCATTATGTCATGACATAGATGACAGAAATTATATACTTGTGAAATATGTTATTTACATAATGTAGGCAATGACCAGGCTGAGCCTGAGGGAGGGGTCAAGAGCATTATCAGTCTGGCATCTCTTCGCACCCACAAGTGATCTAATGATCCAGCCCACCACGAATTTCATTGACCCCTATCAATTGCCAATTTGACTAACCATTATTTCAGATTCTTGTAGAGAGGGTTAGCATGCAATAAACCTGTATTCATTTAAACTACCTTGGCTCATTTCCTGTGCTTGACAATGATATCATGATCCAATGTCCTTTATGCCCACCCCCTCCCATGAGTGTCCATAGCGACATTAGCTTAGAATTGAAAAATAGGCTTGGCTGTGGGCTTTTTCTTTGCTCTTTTCCTGTTTTTCAACTGTGTGGTGGAGATGGGTTGGTTTTGATCCTTCACATTTGAATATGGGAGATGTGAAGTGGAGGCAAAACTTGTGTATAAAAAAATTACACCCAAAAATTATAAATTAATTATGTCTAGATGAGATAAAGGGTAAATCAACTGTAATTTAAATAAACTGTGATTGTCTTAAGATTTCCTATAAATAAATATTTGTAAAGATATGAATGTTTATCTTTAGAAGAAACAGGGTTTAGTTTTACCATGTATAGACCCAGATTATTCAGTAAAGTGACTGATGGGATTTCAGATAAGAAAAATTCTGGAGGGACTGGATTTAAAGAGCACACAAAGGAAAATGTAATGACAAGTAGAATCTACTTTCTGGATCCAATGGTTTTCATTAGCACAAGATTGCACAATCTTTAGTAGAAAGTCACATATTGCCTTTGAGAGGTTGGAGATCTTGCATTATTAAGTGGTCAGAACCATAAAAAGAAGCCAGAGCTGCTCAACAACTAAAAAATTTTTGAATTAAAATTAAATATCCTAATGTATTTAACATAGCCCTCTATTGTCATAATGCAAATTCAAATTTAGTGGCAATTGTTGAAGAATTCTGGAGTATGCAGTCTTAATTTTTGGGGAGGCCATATGTGATCTTGAGGCTTTGTGCCTCTCATTTGTTTGGTAATGCAGCTGAGAAAATGCTTATTTTATAACTGATTGCTTTTCTTTTGAATATAGGCTTATATTATGAATTCTAAATATTTTTTTAAATCTTGTAAAGAAATCTGGTTATTTTGTGTAATGCTGTTCCAAGGTAGAGTCAATTAAGTTAACTCCTACACTGCTTTAGAATTGCAATTGTGTTGTAGTAAGAAAGGAGAATTGATGGTAGATGCAAGTTATTTCCCTTCATTTTACCCTCCCCTTTCTAGGTCGAATTCCCAAACAGTCTTCTTGAAACATAAAACTGGATAGTCCTGCTGGATGAAACTAAAGAGAATGGTTTGATTAATATGTACCGTGTAGCAGCCCAGTATTCTATAGAAACTCATACTAAAGAAAGTGCATTGATAAATCACAGTTCTTGTGTGATCCTTTTCTCCCTTCAGTGAGATTATGAGAAGTAACTCTCTTGTTCCTGTGGACAAAGCAAAGGGCCTTCGGATGCACTGGGCACGGCCCCTGCCCGAGGCTCTTTTCACATTGTGCTACTGAGCCCGACCAAGCAGTGCAATGTAAAAAGGGCATTGGGTTGGTGGCTACAGCAGCATGAATTCTTTATACTTCCATTGATGGTAAAGATGAAAGGCCAAGCATGGAGACTTGTTACAGTAGGAATAATGATTGGGGGGGGGAGGGAAATCCCCATTTTGTCCTGCTAGAAGAGTGGTTTCTATGACGAGAGCTATCTATTCATGTCTTTCAGAGGAGTTTTCAATTTCAGTTGCTGGGTTTGGATAAATTGGGTACCAGCATATTTGGTATTCGAGCAGCAGCTGAAATATTGGTCATTTCTCTGTTGTCTTTGAGATAATATAGCAACCTACCATCGAATGTTGATTGCTCACATATATTGGGTATCCTTTGTGCTCTAGAAGATGGCTAAAGATTATGGAAAAGGGAATCACTTTCTTTATTCATAAAACAATATCCAGGCATAATCCGAGCCAATTTTCAGATTATGATAATTTTGAGTATGCAGTTTTGTCTGAGGGGATAAATATACTGGTTTGGGTTTTTGGGATAATTTGGTATGAAGATTTCAAATTTATGCAGTCGGGAAATATTTCTGGATTCCGTGCCTGTTGAAAGGTTTAACCAGCAGAAAGCTAATTTCCCATCAACAGAACTTCTGGCTTGGTACTAAATCTGCAAAAGAAGCAGGATGACAGAAGCTATTGATAGTATGGATTGCTTGTTTTAAAATATAAAACAATTTTATTATACAAAAAAATTCCTGCGCTGGTGACAGTGCTAAAATGTTGTTTCTCCCCCCCCCCCACTGCCCCACCCTTCATGTATGCTAAGAGAGTTGAGGGAGGGGACGTAGTGCTCAGGGATTACAAGCACATGGTGGTTCACACGTAAATTAATGGACTCCATAGAATAAACCTGGGGAAAATACCATTGCAGTGTCTGGGAAAGGGACTGATAACTGCCATTTGGAGAGACTGTTCCTCTGTCCCCTATTTCAGGATATCTCCCCATGTGATCTACGCCATCCAGCCTTCAGTGCCCAATATCAGCAGGCTGATATACAACTCATAATTTCTCTTTAGTAAGGAGAACAAGAACCCCTTATAATGCACTGAACCACTGCTCTATCCAACTCAATGCTGTCAACATTATCTGCCCACAATTATCTAGGGCCGTACCAGTAGTTGAAGTTCTGTCCCAGCCCTTCTTTATTTAAGCTAGAGATACTGGAGATGATCTCTTCAGCTTTTATGCATCAAACTGTCGGCTGACCTTCCCCAAAGCACACTTTATGTCACATTGCATTAAGTATTTTTTTTTCTTACACAATGGACTGCCAAGTTCACACCTGATTCCAGGTTCTCGGTTCTGGATGCCAGAGTGTTATGCTGACAAGTGCTAACGGGATGTAACATAACCTACACAGGCCAAGGAGAGACCAATCCAAAATCTCCCACATTAGTCTCCCACTCTACCACCTGCATGTTTCCTCTTCTGCTCTAGGGGACAGGTAGAGTCCTCCAAACAGTGAGTCCAGCATTTCAGAAAGAGGCTTTGGAAGGAAGATCCCGGAAGCTCCATTCCCCTGGATGATGCTGTGCAGGAGATTGATGGAAGGGTAGCTGGGTTGGTTGTGCTGGGGAGCCACTTGTGTCAATGGGGTTACGAAAGGGCACGGCATGCTATGCAGGAGGGTATGAACCCAGACTTCCTTCTCAGTCCCAGCCATTGTCCTTCACCATATGTGACATCTCAATGATGTACTTCCCTTCTTTGTACTTCTGGCTGGTCTCGAAGGCTTGTTCCTGGCAAAGAAGGAAATAGGAGATACAAACCCAGCTCTAAAAACTGACGTTACCTAGTTGGGTAATGAAAGGTCTGCAAACAAACACCAATCTTAACATGAAGGATTCCACAGGTCAATCCCACCTACAAATACTCTCTCCTATTAGACATGAACCTACCTACTTTAGACAATGCCTCTCCCTCTCTAAAACTATAAAAACTATAACAAAAATATAACTTTGCTTTCATGAGATGAAATAGGTGAAAGATAGCAAAGCATCTTCCATTGGGATGGTGTGACAAGCAGCAATAATAAATGCAGAGCACCATGGTTTTGAGAGAGATCGTAGAAAAGCTAGAATATTTGCACTAGTCTTCCCAATTGGATGGGTTCACAAGGATTGCTTTGATAGTACTGATGATGTTACCTAGTTTGGGTAATGAAACATCTGCAAGAAAATAACCAAGTTCATAGTGCAGCAAGGACATTTCAATCCCGAGCTACAAATATTTTCCTTTAAAGATTGTTTTCCTAAATCTCCCTGGTTTGGGTGCTTTCCCAAAACTTGATTGCTAGAATTACATTTTTGAAGGGAATTTACTCACATATTTCCATCCCAGTGTAGTCTTGCAGCTTTCACAAAATATATCAGCAACTGAATGGAGACCAGTAAGCAGAAGACGTTGCTCTGCTGGGCCACAGCCCACATTAACCCTGTAATCAAATCAAAAGTCAACATCTCATTTTGTTTTTACCATGATTAGGGCCCCAATTCTGTCCTAACAATAGCTTTAAAAAAAAAAAAAAACCTCGGGATGAGGAATATCCCTGTCCTATGATATCTGAAGTGATCATTTAGGAGAAAGTTTTTTAAAACAAAAATTTTTCAAGTAACTATGAAGATATATTAGGTGGACTATGATTTACTTACTTGGCTATAATAGTTTAGTAGTTTCAGTTTCCAGATGACAATGCAATGAATAGATTTTTACAATGTGGGCATTTATACTTTATAAAGAAAAAATAAACATTTTTCCAGGAAATCTGAAAACCCAACACAAGAAATAGAAAATGGATTCTAAATTTAATCTCAGAGCGGCCTCCAGTGGCAAAAAGAAGGGTCTACAGGCAGTACATTGTGCTCAGAATATTAAAAATTGGGACACATCAATAGTATTGATTACAAGTGTCTAGGCAGAGACAACTTGGATAATTCTATTTTACTGAAACAAAGTAATTACTAATTTTATGCATTTCAATTTCTCATTTTCCTGACTTTGTTTTGTGAATTTGGCTAAACACAAAAAAGTCTACATGAAAATGTTGCCCACATTTTCATGCATGCCTATTTAAACATTCAAACTAATGGTTTGGTTGTTTTAAATTAATACATATCAAGAACGTAATTAAATTCTCTTGTAAAATGGAGTCAGGACATTGTGGTAGAATGAAAGAAAAAGTTAGATGTTGTTTGATCTTGCCTCAGTTATTTGGGTTCTACTGCATTACGAATCTCCCCTTCCTGAAGTACCATCATTTTATTTCTAACTACTGTTATGCAGAGTTACGTAATAAGGATGGAGGTTTTGCAGTGCAGCTATTTGAAAATCAACGAGGAAGGAATTCTATTTAGATTTATTTCACATTATCACATTTGAAGGCAGAAGCAGATAAGGATTAGCACAAGAGCAATGTAACCATCACTTACTTAATAGTCAGCTTTTGAATAACTAATGCAGAAAACTCATCAGGACTGCCAAATAAGAATATATAGGTAGTTCGTAATTTCCAATAGAGGTGGTCAAACAGATCTTTTGCTATAGTCAACCTCTATATTCCTTTCACTTCAAGAAGAGTGGTTATTTCTGGAGCCAAAGGAATCTGGTCCAGAACAATTGCTTGGCTGGGATCACTATCCATGTCAGAGGTATGTTACATCTCTGACTTAGTCCCACTGAGTTGTAGTTGAGCTTTCTTCTGCTGAAGGCCAATTGGAAATAAAGAGAATGAAAATGATACATTTGTCAAAACCACCTGCCACTGTAAACTTTTTTGGAGACATCAGGGTCTCCAAATTTGACAACTTTAAGGTTTGTGGAATTCAATTCCCAGAATTCAGCCAGCCAGCCATGCTGGTGCAGAATTCTGGGAATTGGAAGTTCACGATTCTTAAAGTTGCCAAATTTCAAGACCCCTAGTAGGCATTACAAAAATTGGTATTATAAATCAGGAGGCTGATCAGCAATTTTCAAATCTCTCTTTCAAATTTCATAATGGAACTTTGGTAGTCACGTATGGGAATTTGGAATTAATTTGATTCTTTTAAAGAACAGAGGAATGAACATTTGGGAATTACACTTGAGGAAAAAGAAATTGTTAAGAAAAATACCACTTTCTTGGAACTGCTTAATGCATAGATCAGAGGAAAAGGAGAGATGTCATCTCCAATAATTAGAATCAGGAATAGACCGTTCTTTAAAACCAAAAATGTATCCTCCTCTGGGTTGTGGAGTTAAGAGAGAATTCCAATGATACAATGCAATAGGTTGGGTTCCATGTATAAAGCCTAATAAATGCTATGATATTGGAGGTCAATTGCCAAATTAAAGAATGGCAATGGTAATCTATCAAAAGCAAAAATAGGACAGAAATGTCCCAATATATTGCTGGGAAGCCTATTCATATGTTTTATTCCCTATTTCTATTTCAGAATTCGAACAAATTAGCCTTGGAGACAGATGAGCTGCAGCTGTAAGAATGTGGTGATACAGAAGATACTGAGTGAGATATGACAGATATATGTCATATGCAGGTTATTTGGAGGAATACTGAATTATACATCTCACTACAATAGCTTTACTTTTATATATAAAAATAGATCTCCCAATACTTAAAATTCTCCTCTTTTGCAAAAGAGCTATTTTCTTCCATTCGAAGGCAAAAAAAAAACAACCCAAAAGCCTGCTTCCACTTTGCATGCTCCTCACCTGTATCCCATTCCCACCAAATAAAACCAATTGCAGGAGGACACTCACACAGAATTGAAAAGATAGGCGCGACCATGACTTCCCTGGAAGGACTGTGGAAATAAAGTATAAAAGTTATGTCCTCTCCCTTATAAGATGATTGAATCCCCTTCCCAAACCCAACCGCTCAGTAGGGATCCCAAGTTGTAAGAAAGATCAAGCTGTTCTTAAGACAGACTGATATTGCTGGAGGATCCCAGGAGCTGCAGTTAGGTATCCCAGAACAGGCAATGCTGTGAGGAAGCACATTGCCAGAGTCTGGTTGGGCCATAGATAAATGATAGTTCTAACTAAGCTTGTCATTGTGATCCTGAGAGCACATGTACCTTGGAGATGAGCTCATCATGTTTGGCCAAGTGTGCCCTGCAGTGGACACAGCTGTAAGTCCGGTGGCACCGGGGCAGGTAACTGCGGAAAGTTTTGGTAGGGAGACAGGCAGCTGGTGGCACTGGCTCACAGCTGGGCATGACAGGCTGGAGAGCGATGCCTTGTCGAGGTGGGGGAGCCGGCGCTGTGCAGCCCCCACATAAGCGATCACAAGTGAAGCAGCGAAGCAGGTTGGCTAGAGCCGTTTTTCAACAAAGTGAAGTTTGGGGGGGCTGCACTGCCAGGGCCCCCCCAGATGAGAACCAGACCGAAAGGGGAGGCACCTAGTGAGAGAAAAGGGGAAGGAATAAGCAAAGGAGCAATGCAAAGTTTCTTGGACCATTGGGGGCTGGGAAATGGAAAGAAGGAATGGACCTTGTCATGTATGTTCAAAACAAGCATTAAAGTTGAGGATGCATCAAATAAAATTGTTAAGTGATTTCAGCTGGCCGAAAGGAGATCAAGTCACATTATTCTACAAACCAGTTTCATGAGTTCTTTCAAGGTGAAGAAAACTACATATATTTAGATTTCATTTTTCCCTGGCCCAAGAATCTTACAATAGATGCTCAGCTGCCATAATGATGATGAATTATTTCCCTGTCAGTGAGTATAAAAACAAAGCAGTATGCTTTTTTTACATACTTTTCAAACTTCTACAACTAAGTTTTTCATAAGTGTGCTTAATACTGAACATTTGGGCTGAACCAGATCCCTTACCTTAATTAAAAATACTCTCTTCATCTTAATTGGCCAGCTGATTTAGAAACAGTTTTTGTTTGTTTTGTCACTGTCAGTCATGTCAGTAACCCAGCGTCATGAATATCAGTCATGATGTTGAGACGGACAGCCATATAATTTGAAGTTCTTGTCAGACATAAAAATATGACCTGCCAAAAACTATCAAGCAGTCGTTGAGTAATATTTCATTATATTATTTCTAGTATGACAAGCTAGCATTCAGTTTAATTACTGTAATGCGCAGACCTTTCTTAAAGGTCTCCTGAGTAGCTGCTAGCAATAGCTACCAATAATATATCTTTCCCCAATGCATTCCTACTTATTAAACACCCCCCCCCCAATCATCCGTGCCTACGAAAGTCCTCTTCCAGGGACTCAATAATACGGCTCACCATGCACATTCATTCAAACTCGCCTACTCCCCAGTTCTGACAGCTTCCACCCCCTCGAGTTCGCTCCCTGCCGGCAAAAGCAGGCATTACACCTCAGTAAGCTGACTTTTCGGCCCCCCCCCCCCCCCGTCTGCGCGTTTGTCCTCTTGCGATTTGCAACCCTCGTACCGTCCCGCAGCGAATCACACAAGGGGAGGGTTGGAATCTGTCAGCGACTCCAGATTTCTAACCGCTCGGCTTTCGATTTAATGCAGTTAAATAAATAAATAAAAAAGATCGCCTCGCTACGCCCGGGTGCAACTTGTATTGCGTCGCTTGCCATTCTCCCCCATTCCCGTCCGCTTCCCCCTCTCTCAGAAGGAGCAGCGAACGGAGGGGAAAGAAAGAAAGGAGGTGGGGGCGAGAAAATAAGTGAAAGTGGGAGGAGCCCGAAGACCAGCCGCGTTAATCACCGCAGAGTCTGACTCACGTGGCTGCCTGCGCGGAAAGAAAATAAAGGCGACGTGGGGAAGTTCCCCGCGGGACTCGCTCCTGGTGGGGATAATGGTGAGAGGATGGAAGGGTGGCAGCTTTTATTTTTCCGCTGCCCAGCGAAAGATAGCTCTTAGGCCAGGCTAAGGGTCGGCCAAACGCAACGGGAGGGAAGGGAAAGTTTCGGCTGCGCCGACGCCTGCTCTGCCCTCTCAGCTGCTCACCTTGAAACCTGCTTCCCGGGGGACTCTTCTCCGGCCCTGCCTGTTCCAGCTGAGGCTCCGCGCGGGGTCGTAGCAAGGGGACAGCAGCAGGTTCAGAGCAACCCGAGGGCTGTTTTTGTGCACCGTCTGTAGCCGAATGTGGCGGTGTGTTGTGGAACCGCATCATAACATTGTGAGTCATCCATCCCTCCTCCTCCTCCTCCTCTTCTCCCCCGCCCCCCCTTCGGTCTCCCGCTACGTCAGAGCGGGGTCGGAGACACGGATCAGGAAAGGAGGGGACGAGCTCGAGTCACCCCGACAGGGACGCTGAGGGGAGAGAGGGCGCCCCGGCAGGGCACGCGGCACTCTGGGGCAGAAAACCGGCATGGGGGGTGGGTGGCTGGGAAGGGGCAGCTGAGAGAAGACAGGCGGACCGGAGCCCTGACTGGGAGAAAGGCGCGCAGGAATCGCTCTTCCCTCAGTTGCTGCCTGGGCAAACTGACGCAGGGAGAGAGACGCAGCGTAAGGGTCACCGCCGGCTGGAAAGCTGCAATCTCGCTTTTCGAGGCGCTTCGTCTAGACTCTAGAGTCTAGACCATCCCTCGACCCCAGCCTGTCCAGTTCTTCGGGAAATGCTCCCGGGACCCTCGCTGCCTCCTTCTCCGGTGCATGTGATGCTCCAGCATATGAAAGCCCCAGAATTTGGTCCTACTAGCTTCCGATTCCTGCCAGCCTCGACATTGCTCAACCTTCCTCTCATGTCCTCAAAACCGACATCCCCTCATGGCTAGGTCCGCGGATTTAGAATATCTCAAAGGAGAACGTATTTCCAGATGTGGGCTTGGAGTTCAAAAGTAAATAACTGCTTAGTATATGATTTTGGCCCCATAAAACCACGTAGGAGTTTAGGTGTTGGCATCTGTAGGCACTGAATTGCAGTCGTTTAGTTTCTAAACAGTAGAAAGAAAAACTCGATCCCATTACAAAGATTAATAAACCTTCCTTCACTTATCAACAAATATATACCAAGAATCCCCAACCCAAGCCTGCCTCCATGCAAGCATGGACTATGTTACTGAGGCATAAAATACTAAGAGCCATACATACCCAGGAAATTATATAACTGAGCAATTCATGTTGGCTTAAATATATGCAGGTTCTAGAATAGTTTAGAATTTGTCATACAGAATTCTTCAAGATAGGTTTGGCACTCATGATAAGGGCATCTACAATCAGCAAATCTTATTTGCTTGTCTTGAGGGGCTATCATTATGTCTGGCACTGAAAACCATGACAGCACATCTTGGAACCAATAAGAATGTATTAGAAACCTTGATAGCCACGGGCTGAAATTCAGTAAGTAAGCCTACTCCTAAATTGCTATGTTTGATAATATTCTAGGACTACCCTATAATTCACTAAATTGCAGACAGCTTAGTCTGTCCTAATTTTAAGATTGGAAGGAAATGTGCCTTTGGAACCTTTGTGGCACTTCTATTGGACTGTTATTGCATTTAGAATTTGACTAGTATGCATCATGCTACTTTCATCAGTACTAACTTCTAATTGGTAATTCACATTTAGAAAACAATGGAATAGTGGAAATTATTATTTTGAGAATACATTGTTATTACAATCACTAGCCCAATATTTGGACTGCTATTCCAAATTGATAGTCTTCAGGGCCTTCATCAGTCATGCTGGACATAGAAACATTTGGAAGCTGTTTAACTTTCCATCCTCCCTTCATGACCACAAGAACAATTATCTCTGACACTGGCAAATGTATCAAAGATGACTTCATTTTTGCTAGATATATTAGGGCTATAACAAAGGAGTGAGTGAGATGGCAGCATCTAAATTTTATGAATGTAAAGAAATCTCTTGTATTATCTTTTAGTTTCTTTGCTCCCAATATTTTCTTTTTTTAACTCTACAACCTCTCTGGTCTGTTTCAACTTAGCTTATAGTCAAAGCAGTCTTTCCCCTACTTGTCACAAAGGCTATCTATCCAATTGGACAGCTTAAATTTATCTAATTCACATAAGGCCAAAATGAAAGTTAACAGTCAAGTTATATTTCACCAGCACATTGGTACCATGATATGAAAAAAGAATATGACATAAAACTGAAATCGTATGCTCACTGATTTGTAATCCCCATTACACTCAATATAACTTACTTTTGAATGAAATGTGGGAATGCATTTGCACAAATCAAAAGGATTCAAACACCATTTACTGCTCATAAAAGTATCATCACAATTAATGGAAAGAACTGCCTGACCAACAAGATTTCAAGAACAGATGGCAAAAATATACAGAAGGGGTATCTGCCAACAACAGAGGCCTACTTCCTCAGGATAATGAGGAAAGGGAAGCAGAAATAGAGTCAGTCATCCTTCAGGAAAAATTCATCTTTGTAAGATCCTAGGTGTTACCATTTGTGCAGAAATAGCTGAACCCTGTACCACTCACAACCATCACAGACTTTTGCAAGAAAATTTGGGAAATGAACATATGGCAAAAGATTGTAAAAAATCAGTGTTTATTCCATTGCCAAAATGGGTGATTCCAATTACTGCACAATTGACCTCATAGTTCATATTAACAATGTATTCAAGGATATCTAAAGAATATCTGCATCTGCTTTATTGATTACAAGAAGAGCTTTGATTGTGCTGATCATGACAAGCTATGAAGGACCCTAGAAGATCTAGGGGTACCTGAGGGACTTCTGGTTTGAAAGGCTGCGGCGGCGGCAGGAATCCGCGATCGTGCGCAGTTCCTGCTGCGCTCGCCGCTGGCGTGCCCCCGATCCAGCTGGATTTGGGGGTTAATAGTCACCCCGTAGAGGTGACTGAAGATAGAGGAGGCCCAGCAGGGGTCTGGGGGGATCGCAACCCCCCTCCTCAGCTGGCTCAACTCCTTTCTCCAAAAGCGGTGGAGCGGCAGTCAGCAATGGCCGCCACAAAGAAACTTTCATCCGGATAAAGACTGTGCAGGAGGAAGCTGAGAAAGTGAAAGTTTTTGGCTGAACCGGGATAACAAGTAACATCTAAATACCCTGGAAATTCAACTTTTTTTAAAAGATACATTGTTCCCTAAGAAGATCGTAAGAAAGCGTCGGAAGAAAGTTTAAAAGGGAAAGATTTTTTTTTCTCACTCTCCTTCCCTACGGAAATAGCAGAAGGAAATCAGAAAAACCCGGCTTGGCAACAGAAGGTAATTAAATTTGAAAAATAAAACCAAGGGGGTATTAAAGATTTCTGAACACTGGAATCAAAATTTAAAAATTCTTTTTTTTTTTTTTTGCTATAAGTGGGAAGGGAGAGATAAAGAACTGATATTAAGACTTTGCTGGAGGAGATTGCTTGGAGCTTATAAGACTAGAGACAAACTGCAATAAGACTTCAAAAAATACATTTTGGAACTTTGCAATTGATTCTACCCCAAGAAGAGAAAGTATAAAAAGGAGAAAGTGCTAAATGAAACAGTTTGTGTTGATTAGGGTTGCTTGGTGACTTTGGGACTTTTGGAAACTATTTTTTGAAAGACTAATAACTTTTGGGTTGTTTAAAAAAATTTCACAATGGCATTATCTGTTGAAGAATTGAAAATGGAATTTCAAAAGTTAAGAGAGGAGGAACAAGAAGGGAAGGGCTCTTCTGGATCTGTTTTTCGCTTTCTGGAAATGGCGATTTCTACCTACCAGGAATTACAACAACAAGAAAGTTGGGATGAAGAAGAAGAAGCCATCTTTGATGAACAAGTGACTTTGGTTGAGGAAGAAAGGGGAAAGAGGGGAAAGAGAATGGAGAATTCAAGACTTAAAAAAACAACCAAAAAAAGGGAAAATAAGGTGAAAAATCGATACAATGTCAGAAAGCAACAGAAAAGAGGAATACAACAGAGAGGGGAGATTAAGAGGGTGGAGACTAAGAGATGGGGTGTAAAAAGGCTAGATTGGACAAGAAAAGAAGGGAAAAGGGGAAGAGAAGTCACAAAGGCTTGAAACAAGATGTAAAAAACCAGATCTTTTTCAGAGACAAAGGGTAAAATACAATTAAAAAGAGATTCTGCAAACGCACACAAGATTGTATTGTAGTATTGTTGAAACAGAGTTAGAAAATTGGAATATTATATGATTTAATAAAATATTAAAGGGAATATGTAAAATGTTTAAGATTTAATGATAGAGTTTAATTTGCTTTGGATTATTCTTTCAACCATATTATAAATGTATTATTTTATTGTTTTTTTTATCTGAAACAATGTTAGAAAATTGGATCTTTATAGGATTTAACAAAATACCAAAATGCATAAATGATAAAGTTTAATATACTATGGATTATTGTTTCAATTATATTATAAATATTATTTTTCTATCTTAAAATGTAGTAGGTAGTTTTAGAATGTGCTAAGCAGAATCAGAATGAGAATTATATATTATTTTAAGTGTTAAATTTAGGGGAAAGATATAAAGGCGTCATACTTCAATTAGTGATTACAGGAGAAATATTGCGTTAATAAGAAAAGAAAAATGGATGTTTATAGAATGGACAAAAGATATCAGTATAATGATCTAAATTGAGATGAAATAAATAAAATAGAATTAAGAGAGTGAAAAGAGGGGAGAAGCCATATAGAAAATATAAAATGGTAAATAAGATATGAAATGGTATATAAAGTGAGCATGAACTTGATTTATGTCTGTACCAAAAGATGTAACCCGGGACTAGGCCGCTTTCCAAAAAGAAGTTTTATGTTTTCATGTTTTGTGTTTTGTTTGTGTATGTTTGTTTATTGAAAATTAATAAAATTTATTTTTTAAAAAAGAAGAAGATCTAGGGGTACCAAGACATCTGATTAATTGGTGCAGTTGCTTTACAGAAATTAGGAAGCCACTGCAAACATCACATGAAGACACTGATTGATTCAATATAGAAAAAAAAGTGTAGCAAGATTGCATACTTTCACCTTTCCTATTCAACCTGTATGCTGAAGTAATCATAGAAAGCTAGAACTTGAAGAATAAAAATTCAGAGTGAAGATTGAAGGAAGGGACATCAACAATCTTTGATATGCTGATGATACAAATCTCTCAGAAACCAAAGAAGGCCAGAATCATCTGATTAAGGATTAAAGATGGAAATGAGAAATTTGGCCTCTTCCTGAACATCAAAAAGACCGAGCTTATGATCACTGTAGGGAATGGAAATGTCAAACT